TAATTTTGTCACTTGGTCAAAGAATGCAATAAGATTTGTCTGGCATGATCTATTTTTGACAAACCCATGTTGGCTTTTAGTAATGACTCTGTTTGCCTCTAGGTGTTCGTTGATTCGTTGTTTGATTATCTTTTCCAGGATCTTCCCAGGTATTGAGGTCAGGCTGATAGGTCTGTAATTTCCTGGGTCCGTTTTTTTTTCTTTTTTAAGGATGGGAACTACATCAGCTCTTTTCCAGTCCTCTGGTAGTTCCCCTGTGCTCCAGGATCTTTGAAAAATATAGTTCAGTGGTTCAGAGATCACATTTGCTAGTTCCTTGAGAACCTTGGGGTGTAATCCATCTGGTCCTGGTGATTTGAACTCGTCTAGGCAAAAAAGGTGTAAAATTGGGCAAAATTAATTTAACAAATGTCTCACTTAGCAACATAAATTCTGGGCTCAATTGTGGTTGTAAGGACTACCTGTAGTTTTAAACTTCTGGGAGTTGTTCTTGGAATTTGGAAGTATGCAAACATTGTTTCATTGTCCTGTTGAAGACAGTTAGAAGATAAATTAAGTAGAGCTTATTGTTAATTCTTGTAACTGCAGTGCAGAGATGTGATGTACATTTTAAAAATATGTCCTGATGATGTTTCCTTCATCTCATCCTCAGTTTGCCATAAAGTCAGCTTTAGGTGATATTTTATGTTCAAGTTTTAATGTTGAGCTTTTTCTCTTCTCCCAAAATATTTTTAGCTGTGAATATGACTAAGACAAAAACAGTGTTGATAAAGCTAGCAGGGCTGCAATTGGTGACACATGGAATGCTGTGGCATGCTTATCATTACCCACACCACATTTTGGATCAGCTGTATTATCTGAGTAGTTTCCAAAGCAGCCCCATACAGAGCACATTGTAGATGACCATTTGAGAGATGATGTTTAGGGTATCAATGTCTGAAGGGTTTCTCCATAACCTGAAGAAGGTTCTGAGGATGTTGGGAGGCAGCCTCCAAGCAGTCGTTTTTCTCCCTGGATTTTTGTCTTTGATAGCACTTTGTTTCCCAAGTTTCTTTCATGCCCACCTCTGTTTTTCAAAACTGGACTCTTTCCAAGCTTTTAATAGGATGGACAATAGATAGATAGATAGATAGATAGATAGATAGATAGATAGATAGATAGATAGATAGATAGACAGACAGATAGACAGACAGACAGACAGACAGACAGACAGACATAGATAGATAGATAGATAGATAGATAGATAGATAGATAGATAGATAGATAGTTACACACACACACATATATACTTTTAAAATGTCAGTATTGAGAAGAAATATGTCACCTACATGATCAATCCTATCTTATGCCATTGAAACAATTTATATTTGGTACAAGCAACCTCATCTTTTAAATGTTCGCACAGACTTTTTCCAGTTATTAAATAGCTACTGTGGTTCGTTAACCATGAGTTATTGATTCAAAGGTCAATAGTATGCTTTAAAATGATTGGCCTCAGAATAGCTGTACCCTTCTGGCAGGGCACAATGTGAGAATCAGTAATAAATCACTTACACGAACCACGATTAACCCAAGAGGTCAACCTAGCATATTCGTTTCTTCAATTAAATCCTCACAGTTTTACAACCATTATCCATTTAGGAATGAAAACCAGCCTCATTAACCATGTTTCCTGGTTAAGCTTGTAGAGCCACGCAGCTGAGGTCCAACGGAGTATAATATAAATCCTCTGGGGCGCGTAAGCAGAATTAAAAATGTTTATCCTGGTGAAAAGTCACTTCTAAAGGCATACACATAAAACAAAGAGAGTCTTAGGCATGATAGTGTCATTCTATCTCCGACCAAAACTTGCTTAATTTGATTACTCCATTTCTTTTTTTTTTTTAGTTTATTGAGGCTAGCCCTCTAAAACTAAGTGCCCTTTTGAGTGCCACTTCTATCAGCCTCCCCAGTTGGCGGGGGAACTCTGGGAGTTGAAGTCCTCGCTTCTTAAAACCGGTCTAGACCAGGGGTAGTCAACCTTGGCTCTTTTATGACTCGTGGACTTCAACTCCCAGAATTCCTGAGCCAGCTAAGCTGGCTCAGGAATTCTGGGAATTGAAGTCCACGAGTCATAAAAGAGCCAAGGTTGACTACCCCTGGTCTAGACTTTGAACTTCAGATTGCGCCTTAACTGGACCACGCCTTCCTTAGCCCCACCTAGCCCCGCTGTAACCATGGCACTCAAGAAACATCCCCCCCACCACACCCCTTTAAGCGGAAGTGACTCTTCAGGCACTTCCCGCGATCCCCGGTTGACGTGTCTGCCGAAGCCGGAAGTAGCCGAGGGGGCTCGGACGTGGAGCTGCGGGGTTTTGTTTTGCTTTGGCTTCCTCTCGGTCCTAGTCTGGGTCGCCATGGCGGTCGCGCGGCTGTTGCTGCTTTCCACCGTCCACGCGGTTCTTCCGCCCTTCATCTTCCCTTTCTACCTGCCTGGCCTGGCCCCCGTTAACTTCTGCGAGAAGTCGGATAAGGTCTCGGACTGCAAGGTCTGTGCCCGAGGAAGAGGGTCCCCTTCCCGGGAGCCGGTCGGGTCGGGAGGGGGCTGGGAGAGTCGGGAGGGTCAGGGGAGCGGCTAGCTTTGCTCCCCAAGTTCTCTGCCTCTGGGGCGGTTGCTGGGGATAATGAAAGGTCTCGGGTCGAGTCGGCTTTGCGATTGCCTACCTTCCTTGGCCATGATCCTGAAGTGCTTTTTAGTCCTGGGTTGTTGTTTTTTTTCAATCACACATTGTCTGCTAAGATCTGTTGGTCTGGCATCCAAATCAGATCTCAGCCTATTTAGCTTCTTTTCCTTCTCCTTCTGCCAAAGTCGACTAAGGGCTATTTATTGCCTGTTTGCAAAAAACCAAAAGTGAAAACGCCCCCCTTCACTGCCTTCTTGAATGGGTCATTTAATTTTCTCTAACGCCAAAGTGAGTTGCTATTGCTTTTTCTGGTTTGGTTGGACTTTGGCTCTTCCTGACCTTGGCCATCAACCTGGCACTTGAGTGTCTAGTGTTCTTTAGAATTCAAATAGTTGAAGAGGAGGTTTTAAAAGAATGTTTTAAAAGTTTATTATCCAGTCTAATTCATATTTTGCCAACGTGAAGCCAGACACAAGGGAGTAGCCATCCCACGGTCTTTCCAATTTGAATGGGCAGATGGGCTTTAAAAAGAAAAAAAAACTGCTTTTGATTTTAGGGTGATGTCTCAAACACAAATGTAGCTCACCTGTTCTCTGATCTCCCTGTAATTGGCACTTGTCATTATCTTGAGAATTGATCCACAATAAGGTTTTTCTGAATTTTCCTCCTATTTTACCCACAAGAGCAACCCTGTTTGTGAAGTGGGTTGGGCTGAAAGAGAGTGACTGATCCAAAGTCACCCAGCTGGCTAATTTGAACTTCTGTTGATAAAATATTGTTTCAGTACAATAAAATATATAAGACGCTATTTACATACAAGTTTTCTGTTTCTCTGGTCTGTTACTTAAATGATTAATCCTACTATATTTCTTCCTATGGGCTACATGCATTAAAAGTTGTAACCTTCTGTCCCAACTTCCTGATCTGTTCTAGGAGCTGTTAGCATCCACATGCATCAGATGTAGGAAATACGGTTATCCTAAAGAGAGCAAAAAATTCCTATTACCAACTAGATCCATTTGCTACTGGAAAATAGCATTCAATAAAAGCAAATTTACCTGAGATTTCAGTTGTTCTAAATAAAGTACTAATGTTCAAAATACTTTTAATTACATTGTCTATAGCTAAGAAAATTAATATGGGTTAAATTAATTATCTCTAATAATGTGTTCTTGTTTTTTGCAGTCTGTGATAGAACTATTTGTAAATAGACTGGATTCTGTGGAATCAGTCCTTCCTTATGAATATACTGCGTAAGTATATTAAATCTTATTCCTAATTTGGTTTGTAACACTGAACTACTTTATGAATGCTTTGCTAAGCTAAAAAAGGAATGGCTATCTCAATTCAGCTATGGTGGAAAATTACTTTTGCCCTTAAAATTAGTTGCTTGGTACAATATTTGATTTGTTAAGTCCTATTCAAAGCATTTGTCCGGAGGACAGTGTTGTATTCATTTGCTCAGTTGTACAAGTTAATTTTATAATTCATCTCTACTATTCTAAACATGGGACAACATTTTGTTCCATAATATATATATCATAATGTATATCTAATAAAGGTTATTTTAGTTGTGGTCTATTGTATTTTAGAATCTGATAACTAAAAATGTTCAAATTGCTAACCTAATTAATTCTAAAAAACAGTATTTATTAGATTTCTTGCTCATCTTAATACACAAATACAATTCTTTTGGAAAATATAATCAACTTTTTTCCCCAAGTATAAATATTAAAAATGAAAAAATTAAGAGATCTTACGCAAGAATGCAGATCTGATAACATATGGCACTCATGATATTTTGGGTTATTTTTATTTTAAAAAGCTTAAAACGTTTTTCTTTTTGTCTTAGTATTTTCTGAGCAAAGGTCGTCATTTAGGATAATGTATCTGCCAGGGTGCTTGATGATGTTACATTGGTTGGTTAGTAGATTGTGTGTCATCAAATTGTTGTTATGTGGTTGATTCTTAGCAACCACATAAATAGATCTTCTCCATGACAAACATTTCTAATCTGGTCCTTCAAGTCTTCCAATGATGCGCCCCTTGCAAGTCCATCTATCAAGCTACCAACCATCTTTTTCTCTTCCGTCTTTTCCAAAATTAGATCCTTTTCCAGAGAACTAGGCCTTTGCATAATGTGTCTGAAATATAATAAGTTAAGCTTGATGTTTCTTAAATGAAAATTTTGGGTTGATTTATTCAGTGATCGATTTGTTTATTTTTTGCCTGTACATGGTGTTCTCACCAACACCAAAGTTCAAAAGTATCAAAACTTTTTCTATCCTGTTTCTTTTAAATCCAGCTTTAACTTCAATACAGGCTGTCCTCGAGTTACGAATGTAATGGAGCCTGCCCATTCCATTCGTTACTTGAAAATTCATGGGAGTGAATCTCGTACCTCGAAGGAGATCACTCTCTGCTTTTCCCCACGCATTTGCTAATTGAATGCATGGGTGAATGCATGGTTCGTTAAGTGCACATGAGGTATCTCAGGGTGGGGAAGGCCATGGACGGCCTAGTGATGGAACAGGCCCCCAAGGCCTCCCTGATCCACTAAGATATCTCATGCTTCCCCCTCCCTTCCTGCCGTACAGGACTCAGCTTGCAAAAAATCCTCTCTGCCATGGTTTCTTTCCCTTTAAGGAAGAGGAGAGTCGGCTTGGAAATGCTTTTTGCGCCGACAATGGAAGCTCCTGGGTGCTGTAATATCCCGTGAGTTCAAAAGAGATCATGGCCCCCAGAACTTTTCATTCTTGGGGGGGGGAAGTGTTTGCTTCATTTGCTTGCCTATGGGACAAAGCATGGAATCGGCCAGGCGTAGGAACCAATGCAGGAACCAATGAACCAAGCAGCCCATGTGTGCTGCTTGCTCGCATGCGCTGGCCTTAGGTTGAAGGCAGCAGTGAAGCCTTCAACTGAGCTGGGAGGCATCGCGGGGTGAGTCCCCTTGTACCTGCGTCTAAGCTGCTGGCGGCGTCAGCCAACTGAGCAGCCACAATCTCCCCACCCAGCTACCAAGCCACTCAGCCCGCCTAACCTACTCCTTGCCTGACCAGCCGATAACACAAATCCTGACCGTTCTTCTCCTTCTCGTTCTTCTAGCTCAAGCAGCGGCAGCTGCTTGAGTTTCTCTGTTCTGTCCAAAGGCGCAGAGCAGGATTGTTCTCAAGAACACATGGGTGCGCTGCTCGCTCATGTGCGCCGGCCTTATTGAATCCTGCTCTGTGCCTCCAGTTTCTTCCACTCGGAGCAGAGAAACCCAAGCTGCTGCAACACTTTTTATCCAAACGGAGACCTGACAGAGATTGGAAGCTCCGTGTGACTGCCAATGTGGTGCTTCAGAAACAGAGAGGAATGCTCCATTTCTGAAACGCCTCATTGGCAGTCACACGGAGCTTCCAATCTCTGTCAGGTCTCCGTTCAGATAAAAAGTGTTGCAGCGCCTATGGGGATATTCAAAACGCAGCAATTCACTCTGTTTCCAAGCATTGTATTTGCTCACAGACGGAGTTCCCCATCTCCCCAAGATCTCCGCTCAGATAAAAAATGTTTGAGCGCCTATGGGACCCTTGGAAACGCAGTGATTCACTGCGTTTCCAAGTGTCCCTAGGTACTCAAATACCTTTTATCTGAACAGAGACTTGGGGAGATGGGAAGCTCCGTCTGTGAGCAAATGGGATGGTTGAAAACGCAGCGAATCATTCTGTTTTCACATGATGCATTTGCACACAGATGGAGCTCCTAGTCTCCCCAAGGTCTCCGTTTGGATAAAAAGTATTCCGGTGGTAGAAAGGATTTGGGGGGGAGCAAGGCACAGGCACAGAGTTTGCTCCGAAAATGATAGTTTCTGGGGTCTGTGATATCGCAAGAGTTCAGGTACCCATTCTCTGCAAAAGAGGATGGGTGCCTGAACATGCGCAATATTATGGCATCCAGGTGTTTCCATTGACTCTCCTCTCCCTCAAAGGCAGAAATTGTGGCAAAGAGGAGACTGATCTTCTCAAGGTGAATCTGGTGCGACAGGAAGGGAGGAGGATAGGGTGAATGTTGCAGAGTCTCTGCAGTCGTAACTCGGGGATTACCTGTAGAGTATAAGAGGGAATGCCGTTAGTGCTTTGTAATTGTTGTGGCTCCGTCTTGTGAGCCCCTCTTATCGGAGGAAGAAGGCTCCGAACATGAAGGAGAGGAGATGGCCAGGCCTCCCTCTCCAGGACCCTCCTCTCTGACAATGCCTCAGGTGTCTCCCGACGGAGAAGAGATTGACCAGGAGCCAGGTGTTTCTGAGATTGGCCAGGAGCCAGGTGTTTCGGATAGTGATGAAGATACGTTGTGGCTGGATCCAAGCCAGCGTAGGCGCGACAAGCGTGCGCAGCAGAAAAGGAGGCATGCCAGAGATTAAGCTGAGTCACTGGACCACACCCCACAGGCTATAAAAGGGAGGTGGTGGCCATTTGGACTCTGTGACGGACAAAGCTAAATCTCTGGTGAAATAGTTTGCTGTGGACTTAATCTCAAACTGTGTGTATTGTTTTTTGTTTCTGTGTTCTCTGAGTAAAAGTTCTTGGCAGGCAGCTACGGAGCTGCTGCCAAGTTTCTTATCTGTGGCGTGGAGTGTGGAGAAGTTATTTAACCCTCGGTTGGCTGTTTGGGTGTGTGTGTCAGACGGGGACAGAACAGTAATGGCCCTCAACATAGGGCATGGAGAATATAACCACATTAGTTTTGAAGACTTGACCGCTCTGACATTAGTAGAAAATTGCAATGCCAGATGGAATAGTTTAAATACCTAATAGCGAAATTGCATTTTTATTTTCTAAGGCCATTTTTGGTTGATGTGCAAAATATATTTTAAGTAGTTGATTCACCCTCATTCAAACCGGAAGATACTTAAATTTTGCCCCAATTTTCAAGCTAAGAAGTTCTCTAACATTAGCTTGGTGTACTGTCTTGCCATTTACTGTATTTGGAAGGTAGATATAAGAAAATAACCTATACCTCCTAACTGTGCCCATGCAACACAGGCACTATAAAATCCACTGCCCAATGTCTTACGCATTTATTAAATTTGTATGGATGTCCATTTCACAAAAAGCAACTCTGGGCAGTGTCAACAATTCAATAAATCAATACATATATAAATGTAAAATCAGTATAAAATATAAAAATAAATATTAAAAGATAAATATTATAAAAATAAAGATGTAAACCCTATGGAAAAAGAGGATAAGAATAGCTACCTCAGCAATGGAGCCATCTAAGCATGTCTCCAGTTCCCTGGGACCTCAGGCCTGATAATATAGGATTTATAAAGAGGATACTGATTCTTTCTGCATGCAGTTTCTTCCATCTGACTAGTTGGACTCTGTTTCTTTGAAAGTTGCCACGTTTTGTTATACTACTACCAAAATAAATTGGGAACTGACACTCTTTGACTACTGTCATTCACAGACTGAAAGATATAAACAAATGGATAATAAGAGATTCTATTGCTATATGCATACCGGTAGTAACTGAAGGATTTACACTTCCTCCTTGACTATAGGCAATAGTTTTAAATTGAGACATTTGGTGACATCAGTATATTTTCCCAGATGCCATTTTTTTAGCTTTTGTTACCGTATAGTTTTAAATGGTTTGATTTTCGTTTTATGATATCACCTTTGGTATTAACATTATGTTAAAATATTTATATACATTAATCATAAATTCATGTATAGGATGTCACCTAAGATGATATTCTCTGACGTGTTATTTTCTTTTATTTCTTGTTTGCTCGACTGCCTCTGTTTTATTTGGGTCATTGACCAACATAAAGGTTTGACTTTCTGACTGGTTCTTGTTGGTGAGATACATTAAAATAACACGGTTCCAAAATATGATTGAAAGTGTTAATTTCTGAAAACTTATGTTATTTAAAATTAATTTTAAAAAAATAGCCTGGGCCTTTGGTAAAAAGTGATGCACAAAGGCTCTTCAAATAAAATATTTTAACCCATACTGAGATGTTGGAATTTTATAAATCTGTATTCTTCCATAGATTTGATTTTTGTCAAGCAGAGGGAGGAAAACGACCTTCTGAAAACCTTGGTCAAGTATTGTTTGGTGAGAGGATTGAAGCATCTCCCTACAAGGTATAATCCTCATTTGAACAATGAACAAATGTAAAATTGCAAAAGAGAAAGCATGAATCTCACCAAAATGAAAGCTTGGGCAGAGTTGTTGCATGGGAGGAACCTGCAGATAATAATAATAATAATAATAATAATAATAATAATAATAATAATAGTAAAATTGGAAGGGACCTTGAAGGTCATCTAGTCCAACCCCCTGCTCAGGTAGGAAACCCTATACCATTTCGGACAAATGGCTGTCCAGTCTCTTCTTAAAAACTTCCAGTGTTGGAGCATTCACCGCTTCTGGAGGCAGGTTGTTCCACTGGTTAATTGTTCTCACTGTCAGGAAGTTTCTCCTTAGTTCTAGATTGCTTCTC